TTTGTTACTTGTGTTGTGTAAGAAACAGAATAGAGACTGAAGATCTGAGAGACAAACAAGAAAGAGTGCCCCAGCTGCTATCTCATAGAAGCAGTCAGCTGGTGGCAAAATGTTTTGGTATTTGGAGGTTTTTGGGTTTGGATTTCTGGATTAGGAATGCTCAACCTGTATTGGTTTCTCCCACATTCAGGTTATTTTCCCTCCTGGTAATCTCATTGAGTTCTTCTCATTCCAAATATGAATCTTTGCTACATTTTTTTAAATTGCAAGGACTTTTAATAATTTTTTAAAAAAGGAAATACCTGGGAACGTTCCAAAATAGTATCTCTCTTCTGCACTCTGAAGTGGTTTATTGTTGTTAATTGGCATTTAATTGACTTCAGCTTATGAAGACCCTATGAATGCAAGACCTTCAAGCCATTCTACAACAAAATACAAAAACCACAAAACAGTGATACCTTTACTGCAGTAATTCCCAAACTTTGGCCCTCCAGATGTTCAGACTTCAGCCCCAGAATCCTTGACTGTTGACCAAGCTGGCAAGGGCTTCTGGGAGCTGTAGTCCAAAACACCTGGAGGACCAAAGTTTGGGAGCAATTGCTTTATTGGATCAATTAAAAAACACAACATGTATCGTGCAAGCTTTCAAAGCTCCACTGGCTTCTTCATCTGGTGAAGATGTTAAAGTCAGAATCATACAAGTAATTGTATTCCCTATTATCATAGATGGATGCGAGAGATGGACAATTAAGAAAATGGATAAAAAGAAAATAAATTCATTTGAGATGTGGTGCTGGAGAAGTGTGCCAAGGATACAGTGGATGGCCAAAAAACAAATAAATGTGTCCTAGAACAGAGCAGACCTGAGATCTCTGTTAGCAAATGTCCTCCATTTTTCTTGGTAAATATTGTATTTTAGAAGTATGTGGAGTTCCTTATGACCCTAGCCTGACCCTTGGGAGATGGTAGCCATAATCCTCTAAATGTAAGGTCATGTAGGCACTGCTGGAATTGCCCAAGACCACTAGAGATTTCCTGGACAGGCAGGTTTAGGAGTTGCCCTTGGGAATATCCCGTTATCCTGGAAAAGATACACAGTGGTGTTTGTCTTAAGTCTCACACTTAATGGGACAGTGATCAGATTTGATTGCACCCCTTTCTCTAGCTTCCCTTCCTTGATAGTTTTGAAACCAAATGCATTGTTTAGGCTATGCTCATACTTAGGAAAACAGTACTAAACCCATCAAGCCTTTGTCCTCCAATTGTTAGGCTCATACCTAGCAGGCAGGAATTGTCCTTAAAAACCCCTGGATTTTGGCAGTCCGTGTGCTACCTTGGAAGTGCATGCTGAATCTCTGTCAGTCTGTGCTCTGAGATAGTTCCCACAACTCCCCTCTTGCTGGTCGTGCCCTTCCACTGAATCCATCTGCATTTGCTGCCAGAAGTCCAGAGGAGTCTCTCGGGCGTAAGTATATCCCTCGCACCCTGGTCTCCCTCTCTGCTTTCCCCACTCTCTCCTGCTTATCCTTCTAGTGTGTGTGTGTGTGGGTGCCTTATTTGGATATTTGCTTATTGTGGTAATAAATATTTTAGACTTTAATTGGAGTTTGGTCCTTCTCAGCGTCATCTCCTGCCAGATTTCTTAGGACTCTGGTATATACCTGGATAGATCTCGTGAAGCTGAGTTGGGTGCTTCACTCTTGCACATTTGAGCTAATTATAAATTCCCCCAAAATTAGACTTGTTTCCCAACATCTCCCTGGAAGCCAAAATTATCAAACTGAGGTTGTCATACTTTGGCCACATCATGAGAAGACACGACTCATTAGAAAAGACAATAATGCTAGGAAAGGTGGAGGGAAGGAGAAAGAGAAGAAGTCTACATGCTCGAGGGATGAACTCCATTAAAGAGTTTACAGGTATGAATCTGCAAGAACTAAGAAAAGTGGAAGAGGACAGAGAGTCATGGAGATGTCTCATCCACAGTGTCACTATGAGCCAAGATCAACTCAAGGGTAGTTAACAAACAAAGGAGATATCAGAGGTGCTGAACCTTATCCCCAAATAGTTTGCCACCTTGTGTAACTCTAGGGTGTAGCCCCAGGGGAGGCAAAATGAGAGCATTGACCCCCAAAATGTGAATTCTCTCCCATCAAAATGAAATTTCCCTTTAGTTTTTTGTGTTTTTTTTCGGGCTGTGTGGCCATGTTCTAGAAGAGTTGCTTTCTGACGTTTCACCAGCATCTGTGGCTGGCATCTTCATTTTCTCTGAAGATGCCAGCCACAGATGCTGGCGAAACATCAGAAAGAAACTCTTCTAGAACATGGCCACACAGCCCGAAAAATCCACAAAAAACTGGATGCTGGCCATGAAAGCCTTCAACTTCTAATTTCCCTTTCTTCCCTACATTTCTAGCATTGCAGGAAGTGAGACACTGAAAATCACTCAAAGTCCTGTTTGCTGTGATCACTTTCTCTTGGTCACTTTCCCTGTCCCTTTTCTTCGTATGCCTAAAGGGAATTTCTAAATGCTCAATAGAAGATTTAAGTAATGGGGCAATAGTTTTTTTGTGGGTTTTTCAGGCTGTGTGGCCATGTTCTAGAAGAGTTTCTTTCTGATGTTTCACCAGCATCTGTGGCTGGCATCTTCAGAGATGGGGCAATGTTCACATTATGCCCCATAACCACACCTCCACCACACTGGGTGAGGGATTCTGGGAATTGTTGTCCCAAAAAAGTATTATTTCCTAGGCAATGCAGAATTTTTCAAGGCCTGGAATTGTCTTGCCCTTCAAACATTGGACTGCAATGCCCAGAAGCCCTAGTCATCACAGCCAGGGGTTTAAGAATGCTGGGAGTTGCAGTTTGTCAACTGCACACAGTTTCTCCCTCTGCTTGATGTGCAAAGGCTTTCTTGACAGTAGGCGATTTGAAATAGCCACATTTAACCCGCTTTGCTTCAAACAAAACAGAAACAAAAAACCACAGCCAAGACAAATTATCTATTCTTGAAATGAATAGTGGAAGTTATGTTGCCGTTAGCAGGGCTGACCTGCTCTCCGGAGACAGAAGGCACCGCAGGGAAGTGGGCAAATATTCTGACAAATATTGTACATTTAGATGACACACAGAGGGACTCAGTTAAAAACAGGAAGGTGAGAAACGTTCCAAAAAAAGAAAAAGCCCACTGTGAAGAAATATATAAGAGCAGCGTTGCCCTCAGGAAAAGACACAGGTCCCCTCCAACTGATCTCTGAGCAATTTTGAATTCCTTTTTTTCCAAACTCTAGAGAAAGTTGAAAGAAATTGCACAGTTAAAGCTGCCGTCTAACTGCTTTCCAAAGGACAGTAGCAATTTTTACAGCCAGAATCAGACCCTCCTGTTTTGGATTTCATTTCCTTAATTTCTCCTACCTCTTACCAAATGGGGAGCAGTAATAACGGGTTCAGCATACAAGTGTACACTTCCCACCTTGGTAGAGTTGGCAGGTCAGCAGCATCCCATTCCCTAAGATTTCGGGGCTGAAATCCCTGATTTATTTATTCATACATTTGATTTATTTCCCACTTTTCTCCCGAATGGGACTCAACGCGGTTAATCATTTCAGTCTGAAACAGAACATCTAAAACAATATGGAGCAAAAAAGTTAAAAGAGCATTAATTTGTGAATCCTATGAAAACACTACTTTTAAGACATTAAGAATTAAAACAATTAAAACACTTGCAAATACACATAGCATACCAGAGGATGGCTTTTCATGGCTGCATCGACACTTTGGAATTAATGGCATTTGACATTGCTTTAACTGTCATGGCTCAATGATATGGATATGGAATTTTTGTGAGCTATTTAGCCTTCTCTGTCAGAGTTCTGGTGCCACAATAAACTACACATCCCAAGATTCCATAGGATGGAGCCATGACAGTTAAAGCAGTGTTAAACTGCATTAATTTTGCTGTGTGGCAGCAGTCTATGAGACATGGAGATGTTTTTTTATGACATCCCTGGGGTGGACCTTAGTAGCATATCCTTCAATGTTTCGTAGATGAAAATTGGAAAACATGTGGCCAAGTAACATCACAGTGTGGTCAAGATGGCAAGAGTTATTAATGAGGAGGGAAGATCCAAGCAAAGGTAGCTTTTGCCTGAGCCTACTGGGAAAGAAAAAACTTTTCTGCGTCCTCTCCTTTCCCTCCTATTGTGTACTTTCAGCTCAGTTTGCAGCAACTGAAGTAAGCTGATGACAAAAGGGGAAAAGTGGGAGGACAAGAGAGAAACTGGGACATTGTAAAAGCAGCTGGAAAAGTGGAATGGCAGAGGATTAATTGGGACTGTCCCTGCCAAATCATGTATCTAGTAGTGGTGGATGATGGATGGTAGTACAGATGATGATGCATTTATATCCTGCTTTTCCCTCTATCTGGGACTCAAGGCAGCTTACAAAATTTAGAAAAGGTACAGATTAGTGTAGTGGTTTGAGTGTAGGACTTGAACTCTGGAGATCGGGGTTTGATTCCTTGCTCGACTAGTGAACTTGGATGAGTCACATGCTCTCAGCCCCCCAAAACCCCATGAAAGTTTCGCCATTAGTTGCAAATAACTTGAAAGCACACAACAACAACAACAACAACAAGAACAACATTTAAATATACAGTGAAACTATCAATGAAATTAGAAGCAACAAAAAACAAACAATTAACAATAACAATTATAAACAACATAAAAGGGGTCTTTCTGCTTAAGCTATCAGCCCTTAAAAGACCTGCTGAAACAGAAAAGTCTGAGAGCAACCACGAAGAAGGCCTTCTCCTGCATTCCCAGCAAATTGTTGGGACAGAGAAAAAGGCCTCTCCAGAAGATCTATAGACCTGGAAGGCTCATAGAGGGAGAGATGGTCCTTTGGATAACATGAATCTCAGCTGCACTTTTTATTTTACTTTTACTTAAAAGATTTATACGCCTTCCATATGACGAAAATTTCAGGGCTGCATCCTGTGAGCCAGCATGGTGTAGTGGTTTGAGTGTTGGACTACGACTCCAGAGAAAAGGGTTTGATTCCCTGCTCAGCCGTGAAACCCAGTGGTGACCCTCTCTCAGCCTCAGAGGAAGGCAAAAGTAAAACCCTTCTGAACAAATCTTGCCAAGAAAACCCCATGATAGCTTTGCCTTAGGGGTCGCCATTAGTTGGAAATGATTTGAAGGTACACAACAACAACAACAACAACAACAACAACAACAACAACAACAATGTTGGCAGCATGAGCTTTTGTAGACTTAAGTCTACGAAAGCTGATGCTGCCCACTTCTTTCTTTCAGTTAGTCTCAAAGGTGCTACAAGATCTCTCTACATACTGATTCTACAGACTAACACGGCCATATCTTTGAACAATCCTGTTGTTGCTGTTATGCACCTTGAAATTGACTTTGATTCATGCCAGCCCTATTATAGGGCATCTTCAGAGATGCTTTGCCATTGCCTTCCTCTGAGTCTGAGAGTGTGTGACTTGTCCAAAGTCACCCAGTGGGTTTCCATGGCTAAGCAGGGCTTCAAACCCTGGTCTCCCAGATTTCCAGACCAACACTTCAACCATACATTGTTGTTCTGTGCCTACAAATTGTTTCCAACCTACAACGACTCTAAGTGCTGTGCAGCTGGGTGTGCATGTGTGTGTGTGTATCTATTTACATTTCCCAGAAGGCCTCAGGACACAGCTACACCAGAAGTATTATGGGAAATTTAAATGACAATTTTCAGATTCTAACAGGTTTTGAAAGAGAGCCCCACAGCCACCTGTTTTGCTGTATTCATGCCATACTATCTCCTCTTCTTCGTCCACTTTTTCTTCTCCTCTTCTTCCAACTCCTTCTTCCTTCTTCCTCTTCCAACTCAATTCCTTATTCCTCCTCCTCTCCTTCTTTGTGAAGTCAACTGAATATAAAGGAAGAAAGGAGCACCTTTTTGTGTGCATTTGCAGAACACAAGTCAAGAGAGAGTTAAGTCTGTTCAGCTGAGTAAAGCAAAAAAATAAAAATAAAAAAATTGCACATATTAATTAAAGATTCATTTAAAAATAATAATATTAATGGAACAGAAAAAAAAATGATGGCTGACATTTTCGAGAGGGGTGGACAAAAGACTGAGCAAAGACTGGCTGTTCTAGGTATGCAAAAAATGTTTTCTCTTTTCATACATATTGACAGCTAGAGGGGGGTTATTATTGAGAATATGGGCCAAGTTGCTGCCAAGGTTCTTCTGGTACTTGTGTTTAAAAAGAAACTATGGAAACCAGGACTAGGAATATTAATTAACTCCAAATTTGGAATTTCTTTGCCAGGAGTAGCTGCCTGAATTCAATGAAGCAACCTGTTGAGCCTGCCATTCACAATGGTGTTAGCAATTTAACAAAGTGCCAAACTTCCCCCCCCCCATAAATTAACATGTTGTTGAAATAATCAGATTAAAAGGTGAGTTGTTGATAAGATTAGATTTGTTTTCACTTTCCCCCCTCCACCCACTTGCCCCCTTTGCTTAAACAACCAGAGTAGATTTATTTTCCTGTTATCTTTATTCAAATCCCTTGAACAGGTTGGCCTTTAAGGACTAATTTTGTGCATTCCCTATTCATACATACATACAGAGTATTCCTCATTTCTATGTATGGTTGTGAAAGCTGGACAGTGAAAAAAGCTGACTGGAAGGAAATCATTTGAAATGTGGTGCTGGAGAAGAGATCTATGGATACTATGGGCTGCTAAAAAGACTAATAGAATCATAGAATCATAGAGTTGGAAGAGACCACAAGGGCCA